CGAAACTGCATACTATATCCGATGCTAGAGCATCCATGGTGCTCGAACAGTGGGTTCGCTAGACGGTGTCGCGCGCCCCGAAATTACACGAGTGGCACTGGAGCTATCACAAGCTCGGGGCGGTAAACTTAGTGGCGAGGTTGAGAAGTTTATCAGCAGTGCGGTATCGTATGAAGATCAAGATATGATATTCTGTGTTCTGGTCGACTTGGTGCGAGAAGATGCTTCTGCTGACTATAGTACTTTGGTGTCGCTGTTGTTGACACGACTCAAAAATATTAGCGTTGATCGCCTAGCAGAGGATCTCCTCAGTGAAGCTAGCTTGTTGAGATTAGTTTTGAGGATGAGAAAGGGTGAAGTGACTTCCGAGACTCAAGAGTTGATACGGAAATACTGGCAACCCAAATTGTCTTCGGATTCTCGTCAAGAGGTGACCAATGCGGCGAAGGTCATTGAAGCGTTGGGAGGAGGCAAGATTGATCCCAGTGTTGTTGAGAGGTTTTCGAGTATCCGAGAAGGCGATGATGAAGCAGGGGTTGCGTGCTTGTGGAAAATAGAGGCAAACGGTGAAGCAATTGGCCGAGAAAAAGTTGCACAGATTACAGTGGTGAATGATGATACAGCAGACTTGTTCGTCAGCTATGAGGATCTATTGGAGAAAGCGACACTCAGGCTATCAGCGGTGTCTAGAGTGCCAGAACGCGTACTGTCTCAACTAGCGACCAGAGCCACACCCGAGTGGATCCTGACGATTTTAGATTCACCGATTGATCACCCTAGACCGTTGGTCGATTGTGGCTGTACGCGTTTATGTGCATTGAAGTCAGGCGAGATAGATGTGAATCGTCAAACTCGCGAGCTCTTGCAGCGCGGAAGCCTCGAGTTATGGCTATGGGCGCTGCATGTCGATCCTGCAGTCCTCGAGGAAGTGGACACGAGGAGTGTCTACGCTGAAGTAATTTCGATGATTAGGGAGCATCCAATTGACGATTCTACTATTGTCGGGCGAGCGCTCCTTCAACTGGACTTGATAAACTCCGAGTTACTGGGTTGGCGAGTGCTCACGATGCTCTGCATGAGAGGTTTCGAGCCTCTGGATGAAGCGGCGGGTAGATGGTTGCTACCGCAAGTTGGACGAGTGATTTCACCAGTGTTGATTGAGGTTGAGACCGAGGAGAGTCGGAATGTGGATGGTGTAATGGCGCAATACACGGCATCGACAAGAGAGCTTCTGGCCCGGAGAGAAGCTGCTGATGGTTTGAAGACTGAAGTGAGGATCACCTTACCCTCGGATGGCCGATGGCTAAGCAAAGTTCAGTGAGATCTCTCGACTACTTGTTGGTATGAGGCCTCTCGTACTGTGCATGAGTGCTATTGTTATGTTG